TTGCTAATAAGTAAACTATTACTGGATAACATGTACCATCAGATGATAACAAGAGTTTTAAAAACACAGCTTTGCGTTGATAAGAATAAATTTTCATGATTTTCATTCCAGGTGAGCTCCGGTAGAAAGGATATTGTATTTCTCATCTTTATTGTTTGTGAAGCTAACGTTGTCGAAATAATCAGCTCGAGATGTTTGCGCTCAGTCTTGTTATATGAAGATTCTTCAATAAAGAATGGGCACTGGTTACTTTTCCTTCTCGACGGACGGCAATTTTTTCCTTAGATATATTGCGTGTGCGAGGCTACTAAATCTATAGGTGCCTTTGCAGTCAGCTGTTTAAAGCGAAAAAGACTGAAAATTGGGCTTGTCTGAATGGCGTAGTCAAACAACACTCGCCCTATGTCTGTGAATTTAGAGTACTCACGAACATGAAGTGTCACCGAATGCATCATTTAAGTGACATTACCCAGGGTCTACATAGTGCATTCAATTAAACGAAATGTCCCTACAATGCCGCCGTTAAATTGTTTCATTTTATTCTGGAGTTTTTTTTTATTTACTCGTCTGTTTTTATTGAGTTTTATCTTTTCCTGTTTACGGAATTTTCGCCAGGCGATACATCTCAAGTGAACCAGAAGTTGGTTTGAAATATCAGTTAAATTAACTGCCGCAACGTTTCTTAGGAAAATCAATTCACCATACGATAAGTTTTTTCTTAGTCATCCATCTATTACGAACCACAAACGACAGAGCGGAACCAACTGGAATTTACTCGCATTCACAATAGATATCCTAGGTTTATCTGTTGGCTCTTAAGCTCATAGCTAAAAATTGCGGGCTATATTTCACAATCAAAATTTATAGTCTGGAAAGGCTATTCCATATTACAACTAATTCTTCCTCTGCAGCATTTCCCGAGATTGGAATCAGTCTTGTTCTACGAGCACGAATGCCTCAGTCAACAAGTGGGTGGTCAGAGGTCAGTGGGTGGACACATATTCAGTCATCGGACACAGGGCACTTCCTGTTTGGGGCACCTTTGGCAAACAAGGAATCAAGATTTGAGCTGCCAAAGTCGGGAATCTACTTTGCCTCATTGAGTGTGCATTTATCTCAAGCGGACATAGGAGTGTTCCACGCAGCTTTCATCCTAAATGGACAGATAGACAAACGAAACAAAGCAATGACTTCTGTCAAACAAGGTCATCCAGGAGCAGACTTCAGTTTAACTGTCAGTGGATTCATGGACCTGAGATCAGGAGATCAAATCTCAGTTTTCATTCTTTCAGAAGAGGACAAAGATTGGTTCATTGAAAATGACAGCCAGTTTTCCTTACGTTATTCTGGTTCTGTTGGATCGTTCCCGGCATTTTCCGCCATAAAAGACGGTGTAACCCTATTTAGTCCATTTTCCTTTTCACAAATTATTCGCAACTGGGAGACAAGTGGTTCCCAAGGATTGTTTGCAAGCCTCACTGGATTTTCGAAATCCACTGGAGAATTTGTGCCAATTTGCGACGGTATATATTTTGTAGCCTCGAATGTCCGGGTGCAAGCTGGACCGGGCTTGTACAAACTGTATTTGTCGGTCAGCGGCAACGTTCTTGATCCGTTTCTTGTAGAAAGTGTTATTGGTGCTGATGCAGTTTTCACCATGAACTTACAAGGGGCGTTTTACTTCAAAAAAGGAGACAAAATTTCACTTAATATCAACTCTTCTAATCAAAGTACAGAGCTCTCGATTCATCCGAACAGCGGTTTTTCACTAAGTTACATTGACGCCTTCAATCAGAGCTCACTTCAGGGCGTGTCGACTGTTACTCAAATTGCTAATGAAATTCCAGGTACTGGTTGGATGGAAATATCTACCTGGGCCATTCCTCTGAATGCACATGTTCAGTTTTACAACCCAAAAGTGTTTCAAAGAGGGAGATTCAGCTGTACCCAGGGAGGAATATATTACGTGTCTGTAAGTATTCGTCTCTTGGTTCTATTCTTTCTTTATTATTCAATTTTCTAATCATCACTTATGGCGTAACCTGAGTTATACTTGTAAAAAAAATTCAATTGGGTACCAAATGGTTATATACCCTCCTTCTCTGAAGAGAACTAATGTACCAGCAAACTGTAACTCTTCCACAGCTAAATCCAGCTGGATGGGACTTCGTAAACTGATCTCGTCATTTCGTCGTATGTATTTAATTCAAATCAAATCAGTTTGAAACACACGTTATATGGTTCGTAATACGAACAACATCAATAGTAGGAGTGTAAAATAAACGTGGGAGCTGATTCGCCTCATAGTTTTGTAAGTATTTAGCGGGAATATCGATTGTCTGATAGGCATATGAGTAGTTTAGAATTTTTATTGAAACAACAAAGGTAAAAGCTGAATCGTTTTAAAACATGGCATAAACTACAATAAAAAAGTGTTATATTTCTATCTTAGGTGTCTCTGCTTGTTCACGGAGGTAGAGGAAACTTTGAATTGCTGGTCAAATCAAGTGGCACTTCCAAACTGGACGGACATGCCGGCCTGTACACAACTAGTTACAAATCTGAAACATCCACATACATTTCGTTGTCCCTTTCAGGTCTGTTAGAACTCAGCAAAGGTCAACATGTTTTGGTTTTCGTTCATTCAAGTTTTCCTGAGAGCTGGTTCATTGAACAAGGGAGTGGAGTGTCTGTCATGAAAACCCGCCATTATTGGCCGGCGGCAAATAGCTTTCTTCATAAAAGATATGTGACTGAGGGAGGTGCCTGGAATAAGATAAGAGACTGGAAACAAACTGGCGAAGGAGCTTTCTCCTTTAGTTCAAATTTTCGAAAAAAAAGCTCTTGGTTCCTGACCACATCTCCTGGGGTTTATTTTGTTTCCACAAATCTGATCATGCGCACTGCAGGTTGTCAGGTTTCGGCTGCAATCGCTATTGATGAACAACCAGGTGAAGATAACGGATTGTATGCAACTCACGCCTATCCACCAACCCAGCTGACACTTAATATAGCTGGCTCGCTTAACCTAGAAAATGGACAAAAGATATCGGTTTACGTCCGCGTGGAAAACAATGGCACCCTTGAAGTCTTAGAAAGGAGCGGATTCTCTGTAGTTTTTATCGGTAAATCTTTCGCAATTCCAAGTTTTCATGCAATTAAAGGCAGTCAGTCAACAATAGGAACAACGAATTGGGTAGAAATCGATGAGTGGTCAAAACCCGGAAATGAGAAAAAAGCTGCATTTGAAAATGGCGAAGGATTTAACAGCGTCCGCGGAGTTTATGTAGCCCCTATCAGCGGTATCTACTTTATATCATGTGTGCTCGTCATAAAGGATCTTGATGTTGTCAATTTCAGTTCTTATTTTGAAGTTTATGTTGGAGTGAATAGCCATAGCCAAACATCATTTACCAATGGTCTGCAAAATACTCATTACTTACAGGGGAAAGTACCGCCGATGGGTAATGACGTCATAACCGTTACAGTCTCTGGAATGGTGCAACTAAAGCGTGGAGACTATACTGTGATTCGCGCACGCGCCAATATGGATTCTGACTGGAAAGTTGAAGGTACCAGCAGTTTGTCAATGTTTCTTGTGAGTCCATCTGAAATTTCATATGGAAACGTTGGATTTTTGTCCAGAAAAAGTGACACAAGGATTAAGAGTGTAGGTCTAAGAAGGTGGTCTAAAATTGGTGGCTGGGCAACACAGTCTGACCTCACAAACGGTCTCTTTCTCAAAAACGATGGTAGTTTTACTTATGAGGCACTTAGTGGAGACTTGAACATAAACCATGCTGGGATTTACTTCTTATCAGTAAACATCATCGTATCGAATACTCCGGAATTATGTGAAGTGGCTGTTAGGGTCTCTGACAGCAGAGGAAGGGATTTACAAGATCTCATAACTGGCTTCACAGCAGCAGCTGAACGCAAACTTAAGTCACAAGGCAAGTACACTTTGTTGATCACTGGGGCTGCTTTCCTCAAAAAAGGCAGGAGAATTCATTTAGCTGTAAGATCAGGTAGTGTTGCACCATTTACTGTGTGGGAGGGCAGCGGATTCTCAGTTGCCCGGCTCATCTACCCAATTGAAGAACCAGGATTTTACGCCCGCATAAGAAATTTCCGAACAACTGGACAATCCGGCTGGGAAGAAATAACTGGCTGGGAAACATCTGGTGTCAGTGGTCTTCATAGCGATGGGCGTGGCTTCAGTTCTCTTGCAAGCAACTTTAAGGTTCCATTATCAGGAATTTATCTTGCCTCAGCAAGTTTGGTGATAAAATACGCCCAGATGTCTGAAATGGTTTTTCTTCAGATTACAGTGAACGGTAAAACTTCCCCAGATGGTGGACTGGTGTCGAGTTGTTTTATCAAACGCGGTGCTCATGCAGTTGTTGCGGTCAGTGGTAGTATGAAACTGTTACAAGGTATGACTATCAATGTAATGATGAGGTCGAAAAATTCCTCTTTCCAAATAAGTGAAGGTAGTTATTTCACCATGCGCTTTATGTCAAAGGGCGATAAAACAGAAGGGAACATGGCTGATCGTTACAGTGATGTCTCCTTTATCTCGAATGGATGGAAAGAACTCGTCAGCTGGAGAACTACAGGTGTGAATGGCCAGTTTCAAGTTGGATCCATTCATCAGACCACGGACAGGTTTTGGGTTTCTAAAAGTGGTATTTATTTTGCCACAGGAAACATTCAGCTTTTAGAAACTGATGGTTTGGTCATCATTGCTATTGTTATCAACAACGGAAATGACACAGCGGTTGTATCCAAGAAGACATGCGTTACTGGCGAGGTTTGCTCATTAAACCTCGCTGTTCCTTTAGTACTCACCAAGGGCACAGTTGTGTCAGTACAGGTTTATTCAAATGATGAAGACCGCTGGATAGTCTCAAGGCAATCCAGCAAGTCTAATTTATATTTGAAACCAGTTCCCCCATCAGCTTTCGTGCAAGGATTTCTTGCTCGCGTCGTGTCGAACATTTCCGTTCCTGACAGAAGACTTGCCAAATGGGTGCGAGTTGGAAACTGGAACATAACCGAGCGTCCTGGCTTCTTCACAACGATAAGCGGCTTCTCCGGAAACGGAGCCTTTGTTGTCTTCAACCCAGGTGTTTATATTGTAACAATAAATTTGATTTCACGATGCACTGGAATAAAGGAATGGTAAGTGATTGTCTTGATATATCTGCAGCAACCATACCTCATAAATGTTAAGGAACAAAGAATTCATGAAAGCAGTTCTGAATCACTCGGACCTAATTACTGAGCTACGCGAAGAAAAATTCAAATGACTGAAGACCGGCAAGAACTTTTCACGTCTTCTGGAATAGTACATCATCACACTTTCTGTCTGTGACCATGGTCTGTCATTTTCTCATATGCTTTATCCCATTTCAACGCTTAATGGCAACCCAGAGGGAGGTCGGAACTTTGATTCGGAAAACACATAACGGTTTCTTTTACACCAGAACCTAGATAAGTGAACTATAAACACTTATGCTTATACAAGTTTACTGATCCCGTCATTGGTATAATTTTGTTTGCAGAAAAGTAGTGAAATAGAAGGGGGGGGGGGAAGTCTGGACCCCTCGGACCCTCCCTTGAATTCGCCTCTGCAACTTTACATCACGTTCCATTCTGTTTTTGTTTCGTAGTGACTTGGAAATGCTTGTGGCTCTAAACGGAAGGCTTTCGTTTAGCTCTGGTCTGTATGCCCGGCAGACTGTGTCCTCTTTAGGCGTTGACACACTGAACATAATCACTGTGCTTCATTTGTTTAACTGGGATTCACTTACAGTAGTTGTCCGCTCAGATTCATCATTTGAAGTCCTCGAGGAAAGCACATTCTCAGTTGTAATGCATGGTATGTTTATGATGGGAACTCTTAAATCTTTCTCTGGAAGTGCAAGTAACTGATTGAAAATTACAGGTTATTGACTGAAGCCGCGTTATGAAAGAAGTGAATTACACAATTTCCTAGAAGTTCTGGTTTTAAGCTTTTAGCTTATACCCAGGTACTCCTTGAACAGGAAAACGAGATTTTATTGTTTTTATCGTGTTCATATCTTTCACTGTAGCCTCTGCAGGCGGTCCTCTGCTATGCCCTGACAATGGACCCACCCTCATCCGACAGCTGACTCCTGCTTACCTCCGAACAAAGGTTGGCAGTTCAGTCACGTGGTCATGTGAAGCTGTCGGAGAGATTTCACCACTTTACCGTTGGCTTAAAGATTACCAGGTAGCTAAGACACAACATTACGTTCATGGTTATTCGAGAAACTTATCACGTAAGAGAAAACTTTTGAAAAAGATGACAGCTATCGATTGCAGAAAGGAAACTTAGTTAAAATGAACTTTGTTGTACCACTCTGCTGGTTTAAAAATTCAAAGCAAGTCAAGACTTCTAGTCGAAAATTACTTCACCTTTGGGATTAGGTTCTCTAGATTGCGTTAAAAATAAGTTTGGAAAACCGTCCCAGTTCGCCTCAAACCTCGTAAAAGGTAAGTTGCCCTTTAGTGTTTCCTAAAAACAACATTTGATCCACTCACCCTGAGTTGATTTAATCACATTGGCTTTTTACTAAAATGCCGCTGACTAGGTATCTCAATCTGACTCGTTAGGTGCTACCGAATGCCACTTCTAACTCGTTAGCAATCATTAATGGAGCTGTACAGGACAGCGGAGAATACACCTGCGTTGCCGAGATATCTCCCCTAACGGTGAGCTCAAACATCGCTCACTTGATCGTTTATGGTAAGTGGTACAATCACTGACACTGTACAATAGTACCCATTCGGTAGCCCAGCACGTATTTACAGCTTCTTCCAAACATACTTTAGGTGTAATCAAAATTCTCCGCAAGGATCAGTCAGTAGCATAGGAAAATCACGGCGCATGATATAAGGACATTTTTAATGCAGACTTTGCTGATTCGGTGGAAAATTGCCACGGAACCTTCACACAATTGATTAATGTATACAGCCTTTGGAAAACATCCTTAAATATAATTTAAACAACCTCCCACGGCAATAATTTTCGACCCCAAAGAGTTACTAAAGAAACTTTACTTGAACATAAGCTAACTAGCAGGTTAAATTTCAGATCCTCAACCAGCATTTGAGTCACTCAACTACACGGTATCTGTAAATGAAAACGGACCTGCGTCACAACTGATTCTGAACATTTCAGTGACAGCAGAGAGCAAACATAGCACTTATGCAAAAGTTTTTCTCAGGATCATTTCAGGTTTGTTGTAAGTAGTGTCACTTATTTGTAAATACATAATTTTGCTTTAGATTTCGAGAGAATTATTCTTACCAATTATGGTAATTGGACCGCGTGGAGTCCAACTCATTCTCCAATCATACGAGCAATTGATAAAATCAAATCAAATCAAATTGTCAATTACGAGTATGATTACAGACCGAATTGAACGACACGAAGTCACGTTACCAATCACATTCGCTGAAATTGTACAGTTATAATGAGAAAAATTTCATTTGAGGGCTATTAATAACCCAATGCCTCCAGTTTTGATTCAGGGATTTGTTTGGAAAACTCGCCCCACCCTCTCAACCAGTTCGATGCGACACCAGAACATGTAACATTTCCTTTCCTATTTTTCTTTTCTTTGATGGGTTGTAGTCTTAATTTGGTTTTGATTTTACAACACTTAGTTGAACTGAATGCTTATCGTTTATGAAAGTCTGTTATTTCGTTTCAATTCAGGAAACGTAAACAACTCCTTTGTATTGCGGCCAAACAGTACATCAAGTTATTTTGGAATCTACACTACTCGTCCATTAGACCGGGAAGATATATCAACATATCAGCTACATCTTGAGTCTATGAATGCAAATGAGCATGCGCCTCAATCTGTTGCCGCTGTAAACATTGCTGTAAGTGATCTCAACGACAACGCACCTATCTTCGGCCAAAAGGTATACGAAGTTAGCCTTCTCGAGAACGCTTCCATCGGTCATGTGTTGCTGCAATTGCATGCCCGAGATGAGGATGTCGGTGTTAATGCACACGTGACCTATACAATTCTGGCAGGGTCTGGAGCAAAGACATTCAGCTTAAACAAGTTGTCGGGTAGGTGATGATAATTTCTTAGAGAAAAAATGTTACGCTGGCGAAGCAAGTGTTTACGTTTTAGAAAAAAATGCGTGAATACCATTATTTTCAACTGAGATTCGAATATTACATTTGCTTTGATCGAGAGTAATTTAATTGAGTATCGAAAGTAATTACTTCGGTTTTCGTTTACTTTTTCTCGGAATCAGTCACGTCATTGTCTTGTTGTGACATCTTTCTTTTTTCCGATTGGCTGCTGTAGTTACTCTGGTTTTAGTTTTACGGCACTTGGTCCAGAGCACTCCTTACGGTCTTTGATTTGTATTTGAAAATCTCAGGCAACAAAATTTCAAAAAGAAACCCAGTCGTGACTTGATTAAACGTGCGTTTTTGTAAATTTTTTCGGAAGTAAGCAAATAACGAACGAGGCGAAAGCTCGTCGCGCGCATAAGGCACGAGTTACATCTCCCAGAAAGTTTTCTTTCAAGGGGCCGGCAAATAAATTTTCCATTCTTACTCTGAATGTCAGGTGAAGTAACCCTCATTGAACTACTGGATCGTGAAACGCGACCAGCGTACTCACTTTTTGTATCAGCCCACGATCCTGACTACCCAGCTTTCTCTGAAGTTCTAATAACAGTGATTGATGTTAACGAGTACAAACCAGTTTTCCAACCACTGAGGTACCACGTGTCAATCTCTGAAGGGACAGTGATAGGAACCTCAATTCTTCAACTGACTGCCACTGATAAGGACGCTGGGACTAACAGTCAGCTTGTGTACTCAATTGTGGCTGGAGATCCTCATAGATTGTTCTGCGTTGACGACGATGGTATCTTAAAAGTTGTAAAAGATTTGGACCACGAAATGAACTCCTCGCATCATCTGACAGTAGCTGTTCGCGATAAAGGAGAAATGCAACTATTCGCGGAGAAACCAGCTCAAGTTTACATTTCCGTTCGAGATATGAACGACAATTCACCAATATTCGAGGTCTCGTCATACGAAGAAACTATTTCAGAATCCACGCCCCCCGGCACGGCTGTTTTGCGTGTACATGCTGTAGATGCTGATCTATCGAATTCCAACGGTGAGATAGCTTTCTCCATGATAAATGAAGACCAGGACTTTGAATTCGTAGTGAACTCAACCTCAGGTATTGTCTTCGTACGAAAATCCCTGGACTTTGAAACGATGCAGGTTTACCGATTTCAGTTGGCTGTGCGGGACGTCAGCATAGCTGACTCGCGCATGGATTTCACTACTATTGTCATTAAGGTCTCCGATGAAAATGACAACTTTCCAGTCTTTGATCCTTCTCTTTACAACGTATCAATTTCTGAGGCAACATCTGTTGGAAGGGAGCTGCTTAGAGTTCAAGCCACGGATGAAGACAGCACGTCAAATGGAGCTCTGAACTACTTTATAAAGGCGGAAACTGAAAATCCCATTTTCCTATTGGACGAAACCTCGGGAATTCTTTTCTTGGCAAGAAACCTTGACTATGAGAATGTGTCACGTTATCACTTGACCATCGGTGTTACTGATCAGGGAATACCCCCTCTCATAGCTAAACAGCCTGCTGTTGTCACTATCGCTATTTATGACGAAAATGACAATCTACCGCAGTTTGATTCCGAGACCTATACTGTAGCAGTCTATGAGAACATTACATCCGGGACTCCTATTTTGACAGTTCATGCTAATGACAGGGATTCCTCTTTCAACCAGAGGATAACATATACCATAGCTTCGTATAGCGATCCAGAGGCTAGGAACAGATTTGAGGTTAACAGAAATACTGGAACAATCTTTACAAGAAGGGCGCTTGACCGAGAAGAACAAGAGGTATGTTTAACTAAAATATCTGAAAACAAATAAAAAAAAATTAATGATAAATTGTTGGATTAGTTGTAAACCTTGAAGTATTCATCCCATCCCATGGCTCAAATTCTGTTTTAACCAGCCGAAGACGCTAATCTATAGGTTTAGCTGAGTTTGTGTTTAGAAATTCACTTTATTCAAATTCCCAAAGGTTTATAATGATTAGAAACTTCCATCATGCATTTCCCACGCAAGTGTCAGCCTATTCTATTCGGTGTGACGACTTCCTTCATTTTCTCAGCATAGGGCTCCGCTGGCGTGCTTAGTACACGCTAAGGAGGACACTGTTCGTCTTTACTCGTCGGTTTCTGGTGAAAAAAGAAGTATACAGAATCTGAAAAAATTTCGTTTCATCGTGCAACTTTATGCAATATTCCAGCTTGAGAGCATGAAGTATGAAGGGTATAAGTCAGCTGCTGCCGAATATCCTTTTTTTTCTCGGCAAACATGAACATGCAATATTTTCTCTGCAAGGTGTATGAGTTCACCGTGATTGCAAGGGATGGTGGAAAGGTGCCTCATGAAGGTTTTGCAAAGGTGATCGTGACCCTGATCGATGTCAACGATAACAATCCTGTGTTTGAACCCACGGCATATCAGGTAAAAGTCAGTAAACATACATTGATACAGACAGGACTCGAACCTGTTCTTCCCAAATACGAGTTGGGCGCTAAAACGATCTGAGCTTAGAAGCCACATTTTAGGAGTGAGAAAAATTTTAGTGAGTTTCTTGTTCTTGTATTTCTTCAAATCATTTCTTCACTTGTGCATCATCTGCAGGTTGAAATTTGATTTATTTCATTTGAAAGTAAATACCAATTACGTTAGTTTTTGGCCGCGTATGCACACGTATGTATGATATGTGTAATCAACAGCAAAATTTTTTCTTGTCTCCAGTCTCCAATCCACATTTCAGAGGACATGTCTATAGCCTCAGAGCTAATAACGTTAACCGCTGCTGACCCAGACACCAGGCTAAGAGGAGAAGTAACTTACACGATCCTCGATATCGCGGGCGCAAGCGTTTCAAATGACGAAGAGGCTTTTCACTGTATCAACGAGTCGTACGGGACATTTAGAATTAATTCATATACGGGAACCTTGAGAGTGGCTAGAAAGCTAGCTGCTCGGTGTGTCTATAATGTTACAGTGCGTGCAATGGATCACGGGAGTCCGCCACTGTTTAGTATAATTTCGTTGCTCATTGAGACTGGGAATGGAAATGCAACTGCTTTAGGAATTCCAACAATCACTGCGATAGTGTCACAAGAAGGTATGCACGCATTTGCTCTGTCGTATTTGCGACGCGACAATTTACAAGTTAAGCTGCAAATTGTTGCCTTAATCTTGAGCCCTTGGAACTTGCCGGGAATATCATAAAACTTCGGATTATTTTTGGAAACGTAATCAGATATTATGAGAATTTATGAGAAATCAGCACAAAACCATAATCTCCTACGGTAAGGACAAATGATTAAGCAGGGTCCGAGTAACTTCAATATTGTAGAAAGTTTCATTTGGATCCCCGTCACCACTATCGCTTATAAAACTACATGAATAAAGCGATGACAGATTCTGCTAGAGAAGCTGGCTATGGCGAAGGTTCTCTTTCACCTTCTGACAAATGCAGTTCAACCTTTTCATCTCCACCTTTACTCTTTTTCTTATCTCTTTTTTTTTCCTATCCCTCTTCTTTTTCTTATTTTTTCCCTCCATCTCTGTTTCTTTTTCTTATCTTTTTCTCTTCATCTCACTCCCTTTATTCTTATTACTCTCCATCTCTCTCTCTCTCTCTCTCTCTCTCTCTCTCTCTCTCTCTCTCTCTCTCTCTCTCTCTCTCTCTCTCTCTCTCATGTCGCCTCGCGCGCTTCGCGCGTGCCCCTGCCCACCTTCAAAACGCCTTAACTCGTCGTCTTTCCGGCAGACTAATTTTTCTGTTAATTTTTTCAGATCACAAAAAAGTAATAATCATAATCTGTGTATTTGTACTCATCATTGCCATCATCCTTACTCTGGTCATATGGAGAGAGGGAAGGTAAGTTAAGGAAGTCGCGTAAACCAGAAAGGCGCTTATGTGAAGTAGATTATTGATACAACGGCCATGTTTGACATGTTTTAAGAGAGAGCAGGGAAATAGTTTTTCTTAGATTTCCCCTCTGAGCATTAACTCCTCTTTTTTAAGTTAAAGTTAAAAGACCATCCCATATCTTCATTTAGCATCTTAAAATTCCAACGCTAAACAAAGTATGCCAAAAATTAACACACAGAATCATTCTCGTTCTTAAAAAGTAGATAAGCGTGTGTTTAAGACGCCTAAAATATAATTAAAACTTCTATAACATTTGCTAACACTTTCGAAATTAAGAGAATACTGATCGTATTTTGAGATTCTAGAGAGCAGCCTGACTGTTCCAAAATTTTTTAAAAATCATCCTTAAAAAAGGTGACCACGGAAGACGCCATTTTGACAATTGCTCGGCAACCTGCGGCTGACGTGTTGCGTAAGATCATCACTCCCCTTTTATCCATTTTGGCAAACATCTAATTTTAAAATTGATTTTTGTGAACAGAAACAAGAAAGCTCGTAACTATTTCTGGAAGACATATTTACCTCAATCATCCCTTTTTATGAGGAACTTTCAGGGTCTATCCATTGTCTAAAACTGAGGGCTAAATTTCAATGTTCGCTTTGTCTACCTCTCTACTTAAACTGGTTCGATGTCCGTCGCCATGTTTCCTTTTGTAATTGTAGCTGCGTAAAAATGGCGTTCTTGTGGGAAAAATCCAAAGATCTCTTGAGCGAAAAAACGAAAAATAAACAATAATGAAATGAACACTGTAAAACTGAAATTAGGGGACATGCTGCAGAGTCAGAATTATTCATATAAAACGCTTTTATTCTGCTACATAACAACAACACAAACAACTCATACTGAGAGGAAAGGGAACCTGTGCTAAAGTACCGTTCTCTCCTTAAGATATTGAAGTCTGCATTCCACGAGAGAGGGAAATTTAGGACGCAAAATGGCATTTGTTATATATTTACTCATACAGCTTGAATTGAAAGGTGTTTCATTGTTATACGAAAAACAACTCCTTGCACATCCCAAAGACCCCTGATTTCGTAATTTTCTCATATTTGAGAAATTTTGTGAGCATTGCCGCCAAAAAAGGAACTATATAAAGTGTATTTCAGGTTAAAGATTAATGTGGATTTTCTTTTCTTCTAGGCGTCACATACGTAAGAGAAGGATGATGTTGGCTCGGTAAGTTCAGAAAAACGTGTCGAAGAAGATGTGATAGGTTCATACCACTCTTTTAGAGTTTCATATGAAGTGGTTTGTGAGTTCCCCGCTGACCAAAACTGGTTTAGAGCCTGAGTCCTCCATTAGTTCAGAACCAAAGTGATTTCAGCGACGAAGAAAGAGGTCTCATACGGAGCTAATGAGAACTTAAAGAAGAGAGTTTTTATCTCTGATCCAGTGCTACAAGATAGTTCTGGGAATAGATAGTCTTCCTTTTTCGGACTTTTTTTAACTTAATAGATGTAATCGAACGAGAGCCAATCATAATTATAAGCTCTACGTAAAAATAGCTATCGTAAATTGCTATAAATTTTCTTTTTTTGTACGGATCGTTAATATGTGGAATAATTTGCCTAAAGATATTGTACACGCAGGATCATTGACTTTATTTCGTAACAGACTAAAGATTTACATAAATATTGATTGAGATGATGGTAGACAGTTTTCAATTATCTGTATATAATGTTTTTGGTCTTTTTATTCGGGGAATCTTTTGTATAGGGTTAACCTCTAGAATATCCCCTTTCGAGAGATACTTTTACAATTTTTCATTTTCCTTCTCTTGAATAAAGTATTGTCATTGTCAATAGAAACAGGCAAACTGCTTGAGGTGAGGGAAAACAGGCAAACTGCTTGAAGTGTGGGAAAACAGGAGTGACTAAACCCCGATTGGTATTGATTAAATATCAGACCGGTTTGAAGGGTAGTAGGACTTTTCTTGATAAGTTTTAATTGTTTCGAGCCAAATTCTTCTTTCAGTGCTGTTAGAAACGATGACGACAGCTGTTTCTCAGATGATAACGTGAGATCACGCTGCAAAATGTATTCCATGGATCATACGGCGACATATCTTGACCACTGCTCAACCACAACTGAGATGCCAAGCTCGCTCCAGACCCCACGCTCTTCTGAAATGGACACAGACATTCTAGAAACTTTTACATTGCCTTATGATGGGAAAGAAGGCTATACTATATTGAATGGAGATACTGAAAGTTTTTGCGTGAGTATCGATTTTGGAATGGAGTCTGAGGAGCCGTTTGTATTTCCCGTCACTATGGAAGCAGTAAATGCCATCGACAGAAGAGTGGCTAAGAGGAAAAAATCGCGCGCGCGGAAACATTTCCGTTCCACTCGTTCTTCTACAGAATCTAAACGATCTCAGGTATCCCTTCCCGCTAAATTTGGATCTCGTAAACACTCGAAAGGCAACGGTGTTCGTGAAGTTATATCAGATACTCGGCTGTAAATTTCATGCTCGGGAAACTTAGTTCATCTGAAACCGCTAACTTGCGCTGATGTGACAAGAGATATGTGAGCACATTTCTTTTACATATTCAAATCTAGGAGGACTATTGTGTTATAATAAAAAAATTATTTAAAAGAAAATTTGCAATTTGAAGTTCTACTGTCTGATTTATAAATTAAAGATCTTCTTCTTTTTTCTATTTTTTCGCACATTCCGTTCACATAATCGTTGTAGTGAGCGGCGTAACCGGTCGATGTGCGGATGAACGCTGAATGAATCTTTACCTAGATACAGGTGTTCACTCTCATTCGGTCAGCGTGCAAACTCGATAGCATGAACGTCAGCTTGCACGAGAAGAAAAAAAAGAAACAGGGACATAATGTAAAGATCGGAGGCCAAATAAAAATCGGAAGAGAACACCGAAAAATACTCGTCTTTTGAGGGTTTGGATGTCAAAGAGCGCCTTTGTCGTTTTAAGAGTGATTTTGGCCTTTTTTAATGAAGGGTCGATGATGGAACGAATAGGGAGACTACTAACTGTTTGGTAACAAATAAAAAAAATAGCAGTGGGTTAACGTATTCCCTTGTTTCTATTATTGAGACCCTGTTACAAAAACTAAGCGCATTTGACTAGAAACATGTCACATTGTGATTCGATTCGATTTGGACATTTATTACACAATTCCACTTCTCTATAGCAGTAAAGCATACAGCTTGTTATGCCACTAAAAATCTATATCACCTTTATCGGCAATGCCTTCACTTACTTTTATTTTTTCTTAATGGATTACCATTTGCCTATTATGATAACATTCACGCTACAGTTCAAATTATACTAACTTTAATCAACCTAACAAGTAAAGTTGAGCATTTTTTGTTATTAATGTCCCATAGAATTAAAGTTACAATAACCATCGACTGATTCATATTCTCACGGACCGTCTTCGCTTTTTTCGGAAAGATCTAACTAGTTCTCAGTTTTTCCCGACTGAGTGCTTGTCAATGCCTCTCGTGCTTCATCTGTCTCCATGATGACGTCAACGTTTCTCTCGCCTGGCAACAAGGCAGGATCGCGTGATGCTTCAATAGTCAGCTGGCCCTCTTTTGACAGGCATGAAGTCACGGAGCTGACAACTATGTCGTCGGGAAGCAGGAGAGTGCGACTGTAATCACGTGACCGGTAATTTCCGCTATCTTCTGATGTGTGTTTCCCGCCGATACTCAACTCATTACCATGGAGTTGAATCTTGATCTCTTCTGGCTTGAAGCCACTGAAATCAAACTTTGCCTCAAATTTTCCTTCTTCTGTTTTCTCCTCCACTCGTTTTGTGCCCTCGATTATAAGGGCGTCGCCATTTTGGGTAGCGCGTGACGTAATAGCAGTTGGATCGACTTCTTGTGGTAGTTTGAAGACTCTCTTGAACTCGCTTGTATCGAATCCATCTTCTCTTTCTGATCGATGCTTTCCATGAAGGATCACATTGTCATTATCAACTTCAAGAGTGATTTCTTCAGGTTTGTAGTTATAAAGTGGAACAAAAGCAATCTTCACGGCTCCCTTAGGGGACAGTTCCCGTCTCCTACGACGGTATGACTTGCCGACTTCTTGCCCCTGAGCCAAGGCCATCTCTGCCCATAGATTGTGGAAAACATCGTAGCCTCTAGGTACTCGGTTTAAGTAACTGAAACGCAAAGAAAATTATTTATTTCCGAATGAGTGAAAGAGCAGAGTCGTCTATGAAGTACAGAAATAACTTAAAAGTATTCTACTCTTGTCCAATCTGGTCCAAAACAGGCCTTGTTCTTTCCAGGGAATTATCATGACGACTTTTCACACAGGGAACTGCTTCAAATCATCAAAGAGTGAGGGCTTTTACCTTGATACCACCTAGCCTATCGATTAGGCTGAAGTTGAAAATTTCTCGCTGTACTTAACCCCAAAGGGCAGCATTTAGCTTAAAGAAATAAATTAGTGAAATTTTTTCGTCAAAACTTCCTCTGAAATTCATGTGCAAAACTTACCTGCACGGACGATAGGTTGGAAACCCGAAAACTAGAGCCATACCACTTTTTTTAGGTTGAAATTCTTCTTTGGCTTCCTTCCGTGTTTAGGAACCTCTTTCTTCCTGAATCTCAGAATCTTTCTGTTCGAACTGTTGATTGCTCTGCGAAAACCACCTTTATGTACCCGTTGTCTTGCTTCTAGAATGTAGATCATTAAAATCTACATGTAGATCTAAAATGAAGGATCTCGTAAGCGTCTTTGCATTCTGGTGAAAGGCAAATTTTTGCTTACTGATTATGAGTGAACGAAAATGATTGTATTCTGAGCAGTTCTGGGTCAAGCCAGAAATTTCTGGACAATGCGCTACAGTTTGACATCAGGAAGGAAAGGGACGCCGGGAGAAATCTGACGTCACTCTACAAATGGCGGATAAGATGCAGAGACCATTTCGTCCACTTGGCTGTCCAGTTTGGTGATTTGACACATTTTATTTCTCCTAAAGGGATCTTTGTCGAAATACGTAGAGCTCGGTTTGAGAATACATGTCCTAAACAACGAGGAAGGTATTTAGTCGAGTGGCTTCACAACCATAAAAATTATGTGCTGATCGTTTCAAGTCAATTTAGACGACAGTACAGAATTTATCGGCCGTTTCGATGGATTGTTGTAAAAGACTAACTGACTATAATCAAGAGTGTCTTATAATTCCATCTTCCTGGTGAAGGTAGTCCTCTTCTTAACAACCGAGTGTTGGTCGACATATTGGCCCACACTTGATCAATACTGCTTTTAGGAATCTTTCACCATACCACTTTGTGATGTCGTTCAAGTAAAAGCTATGCAATAAGTATAGGAAATCGTATGAACGCGAGTGCATTTCGTGATTTATGGGCACGAGTGATGTTTTGAAAAAACTTTCAAAACATCACGAGTGACCATAAATCACGAAATGCACGAGCAGGTTCATACGATTTTTTATTTATTATATTCTCGACAAAATTACTCCATCGGTGTTTCCATGGCAACTTCTCCGTATTGCACTCTATAACCTCTATTGCACTCTATAACCTATTTATGCATTCATCATTGACCAATCAGAAACGCGATATTTTGTTGAGTATATAATAAGTTGAAGTATGACTACCTTCTTTATCTAAATAAAGCAAAATGAAATAAGATATGGTGAATAAATTGTCTCAAGTATAGTCAGCGCAAGGAACTTAAACCCCTTGCAAGGGAGACTGCATTAATGGCAAATTACTCATTTCCTAAAGATTAGAAGTCTTTTGTGCTCTTCCAGAAATTAAAAATACTTGGTGCAAGACAAACTAAGTAACATGTCCCACATGGCAACAATCCTACTTAAAACATTTAATCTCATAGCATCATTCTCTTCTATGAGGCTGCAATTGATGTCAATGTGTCTTAGTAACTATGTTTCAGATAAGCTACAGTAAACTTTACTGTCAATCTTTGGGATGATTGAAAGATTCTCCTTGCAACATACACAAACTGTGCACATGGTTTATTCTCCTGAACAAGCATTTTAAACAAGATACAATGCACCTTCAATATGGAATAGGGCCCTAATATTACTACTAACAATAAAATACCTTTCTGCAGTATATTATATACAGCTGTTTATAACAATTTTTCAATTTTCTACAGACATCTTAAGGCACTTTAATGAAGACCAGTATACATTTAACATTAAACCTGGGATATTTAATGATGAACTACATATTCTGTATTGTAAAAGAAAGTTTTTGAGAAATAGTCAGACAACTAAGTCACTACTTCAAATATTGATCAATAAATTAAAGAAGTTTACTTTCAGTTAAGAATGGGCACATTATTTGCACTACATTCCTTCCATTGCACTGTGTACAAGTTCAGCTTGGCATAAATTGAATCATTATGCTTGCTCCACATTGGAGTCTGGCTTCCACCAGAGAAACAAAAAGTTTTCAAATGCTTGAGAAATTAATACACAAAGAAAGTCTATTTTTCAGAATTATCCTACCTAAGTATCATGCAAGAGTATAGAACCTTAGGAAACCTATTGAAAACAGTGTGAAGAATATGCATACTGATGTTTGGGTGCAAAGGGTTAAAGCTTCAACAAGCCTTTCAACAATAATCAAATAAGAGGCAGCTTTCTGAAGTATTTCAGAGCATCAGCTGCATGTTGGACTCCAATGTTATACACTGGGTGTACAGGAGCTAGTTTATTATCCTGGCCTCCCACTAATGTTAGTTTAGTTTGATACTCATTGACAAAGTGCTGTGCCACAGATAACCCACTCAAACAATAACAGGTGTGATAAAAGTCTCGTGATTTCCCAGGTTTGTCAACAAGTCCTCCATGATGAAGCTGACAATTCATTAACAAGTAATCTTGAAGGGCTACCTGATCAAACATCCATTTCTCATTACTAAGTAAATGCCCATTGCCACTAGCATCAATGACAGTATGAAGAAGAGGAAACACCCCTCCCTGCCAAAATGAGTAGCAACCATCAACTAATTTGTTTGTTCTTCCTTGAAAGCCTCCTTCCAACCGCATCTGACGCCGAGTGACCCATGTGAGCAGACGCTTGTTATCAATCAAGTGGTGCTTGCCTAGCAACACCAATGCAGCATAGCCACAGAATGTGTAGCCTCCATGAGCTTCCAGTCCAGGTTCACCTGAAAATCCACCCTCATAGGTCTGGCACTTAGCAATCCATTCTGCTGTCCCTTCAAACAACTCTGGAGTCATAATATTAGTTAAGTGTGCTGCAACTACTGCACAATATGCACCACGAATGTCCACCTCACCATCTTGATGCATCGTAAAGGAACCTTCTGCAGTGCGACAACTTGCCAAAAATGTCTTCAACTTGGGCCTGTTGATGACGTCATATGCTTGTCTTGTTCCCACGATGCATAGCGCGCACACAGCGGCATAAGTGGGGGCCAGATGAGGTATTTGCTGGGGACCCCCACAAAAGCCACCATACGGATCTTGACAACGCTTGAGGAAATCAGCCGTTTGAGCGTATTCTTCCCCATCTAGTTGTACGTTTAACATTTCAAGACCATGTAATATCCAGTAGCAGAGCCAAGGTCGACTGGCGTCCAAACATTCGTAACTTTGAGAGAGATCGTGAAGGCCTCTCTTGAGGTACTGAACATGCTTCTGGCGATACAGTGATAGGTCGGGATCAAGATTGGAGACTCGCATGTAGGCTAAATAATTTCTTGCTACCGAGTTTTCCACCTTTTCTTGTTCTTCGGAGGTTATAGTCGTAAGACCGTCATCTTTAAAGCGCAGATCTTCCACTGATTTAGCCGAGTGGTAGGCCATTGTAACTTGTGTTGCGATACTAGATACCAGTTTTCTCGCTGTAATGAAAATAGGCACGAGAGCCAGTCTTTGTGACGTAAGGACATAGCCATATATGGCGAGACAGAAAAAACATATACTAGGGTGGCGCGCAGTTTGCATCAGCTGTTGGTGTTTCATGCCTTTAATGTACACCGGGTTAAAATTTACGAAATGTCAGCTCTGAGAGGAATACATAAGCAAAGGAGTCTTGAGTCGATGAGCTCTTCTTTTACTGCCGTTTTCACTTCGGTTCGTGCGCAACAAAACGAAAAAGCTGTGAAACTTGCGTTCTATAACACGGCTGCTCTGGTTTTCGTGTCCCTTAGTGGATGTGCTGCAGTTGCAGTTTATTATGTTTTAGAACCTTTCTTACGTCCTCTGCTATGGGCTGGGCTGTGTGGCGCTTTTTTATATCCTTTTAAGTGGAAATTGACGCAGATAGTTCGAGGATTTCTTCGTTCTTTGCGAGAATCTCACACTCCATTAGTGCTTGGTGCAATGGTGATACCTTTTCAGTTGGCCAACAAATCGTCAGACGTAGTTGGGTCTTTTGTCGTACGAAGGAGCCATATTTTTGCCATATTTTGCCTAACTGCAGTTATTGCCTATGTTTTGTACATTATTAAGCCATTTTATGAGATTGTGTGGATTTTAAAGGGATCTGGAACAGCTGTTCATGGCCTTTTGGACTTCTTTAATAATCCATATCTGGTGAGCAATTTTGCTCATGCTGTGATTCGTTTTTTTTCTTGGTTTATGTTTTTCCTCCTTTATTTCTTACAAGGTGTTTTAGTCGAGGTTTGCATAGAAAATAACCCACTGAACCGAGACAAAATCTAACAGAAAATTTTTATTATTTCCAGATTATATTTTATGCCTGTACCATTTGCTGGAAATATTTGTGAAATTAAAGGATAGGTCTACTCCAGAAACCACATAATCTTTATCCTTATTATTAAATCATACACATGATATTATGACAAAGGTCTTCAATTGTGCTGAGCACAGATGAGGCCAGTCAAAATCTCGCCAAGCAACCTGGCATTGACAAGTGCCTTACCAATTGTTCACTCTTCTCTTATCCAAATACTGGAATAACAAATGTAAATATTTAATTCTGGACAAGTCATCTTACTTCTTTATTCTAGTGCTTTTGTCTTATGGACACCAACCATGTCATTAACAAAATTATCAATCTTGTATTTTAGGTCTGGACTGTTATAATTGGTTACATTTTAAGTCTGATATTCCTCTGGACACCAAGCTCCTCTGGGGTCATCTCAATGTTTTCTCTTCCTGTGTGGATTATGTTTCTGCTTCATCTTGTATCACTCACTGGATCTTACAGGATTCTATTTTTTATGCTTCTTGTAATCTGTTCAGTTGTTGGATGTATTACAGGAGTCTCAGAGGGGCAAGATCAAGGTAAGATAATTTTTTTTTTCAACTATCTCATGGTAATTGTTAATCCTCTTGACTAACAGCCTCTTCTACTAAGGGAAATGTATACCTGGGTATCCAGAACTTTTACTGTGTCCAGTCAGCTCCCTGATAGAAAACCTCATTTTGACTGGCAAATCTTCGCAACCATTAATAACCTCCAATATCAGGAACTGGTCAATTATAAGTAATTAGAATAGTAAAAGGGTGGGGCTGGATGGTTGAGAGCAAAAAACCTACAAAACCACTTACAACTGCTGAAAACGATCTCTGTTATATTTGCAATGTTTAAGAAGAGGCAATCTTAATTTACTTTTAGGCAGATAAGCACTAAGAGAGTGAACAAGGATTGTATTATTACTATCTGTATGAAATCAACATTACTAGTAGGTGTAATACAACTGCTTGAATGAAAAACATTGCATAGGCAGGCTTCTAGATTGGAAACAATACTGGTGCCTATGAGACTGAAAGCTTCCTCCTGGTGACTAAAAGTTCTGATCAAGTTGCCACCTTGGTGACTAGATGGTGAATTGGTGAATTAAAACATAAACCTCGTACAGTCAAGTTTTTCCTCTGTCTTGAGAGAAAAAGGCAGCTGGTACAAACAAATCCTTGGACTATTTTGTCTGGTCTCAACAAGTCCAGATAATCAAGGTTCAATTGTACTTAGCATAAATGACTGATAATTTCAGTAGACTGCTAGGACAATTTATGAACTCAACATACCTAAATCGCTCAGATGCATCTGGATGATAGACCACAATGGAAATTTCACATAATGGTGAACTAAGCATGCAATGGCTGGTAGTTGACTAGGATCCTTTAAGGCTGACTCAGAATTTCAAGTAGCTACTTACTTTATTACTTACAGGTACTTACAGATGCAGATTTTAGATTGGTGATGAAAATGTTAATTTTTTCAACCATTTTTTCCTATGAAGACACCAAAAGGTGATTAAAAAATATATTTAATTTTGGACCCTGATAGGTGACCAGATTTGAGAGGGTGATTTTTCACAATATAGCCCTGTTCAAACTGTTATAATAGCTTGATGATAGTTGATGACAGTTTCAACTATCATCAATTATCATCTACTATCAGTGACATTGACTAATTATATTTTTATTCAAACTGTTCATGATATTTGTTGAAATTACGTAGCTTCAGTAAATTTAATGCAGGATGACTAAATTCAGGGTATCATATAATTTGCAATGATTAGATATTTTAAACAGTCAAAGACTGGATGGAACTACCTCATGTAGTGGAAAGAGTTAAGTCAAACAGGAAGGGTGTGATTAAAAGTTTGACTTCATTAAAGGTCTTTTATTTTTGTTGTTTTCCAGTTGATAGTAAGAAAGTTGGGGAAAGTAAAAGACATAATCTTATGAGACGCCTGTCAGTGGCAGCTGCTGCTCTGGTTACCTCCTTGCCAACCTCAGATTCTAATGAATCCTATAATAAGAATGGCAGAGGGTCATCTACAAGCCTTACTACACCTCCGTCAGCCACATCCCCCAATGATGATGAAAATGGTCAGGATTCTGTAGAAGGAAAAGTCTCTTCAAAGCTTCGAAAGGCTAAGATTTGGAGACCAAAGCAGTCAATTAAGATTAAAGAAGAAGCAAATTGTGAGGGAAAAAGTCGTGTTTATTTTGTGGCTCTTTTCTGGGGAATTTTTCTCTCAAGACTGTGGCTTCATTGGGACTTTATTATGATTTTCATAATACCAGTCACACTGTATGGTTTAAAGCAGCTTCTGGCTTACTGGAGCTCCTCAATCTGTTCAAGTTCTCCAGCACTCTATCTTCATTATCTATGGAAAAATTTCAAAAGTTGGACTGATGAGAGGAGACCAGCATTGGTTCCAACCCCACTTAATGGATTGTTCAAAGGAGGAATGAAAGTAGATCGTGCTGTAAGTTTACAACTTTTACCAACATCCTAGACATGTACTTCTATTTAGTATGAGTAATAAAAAGGTATATAATTGTGTTTCTGCAGATTATCACACCCCATGTGTTAAACTTAAGCATGAATTTAGGTCTCAATTTGATCTGTATTTTTCTCTGTTCTGAATTCATTGTCTTACTGTTAATCCTTACACTGAAAAATGCCTATTTTGAATCATTTTAATTTAAATTCCATTTTAACCTGCAGCATGTGCAATAGCTATTGAAAGAACTAGCAGGTGGTGTTCATTGGCTGTAGGCCACGATATAAAATCCATATATTTAAGTACATATAAGAGAATGCTTTTTTATCGACTTTTTGCAAGCACCACTTGATCCACTGTCAGACCACCTATAATGTCTCTTTTGGTGACTAATGAAACTGCTTTGTATACTGTACATTACATTTTCATTAAAATGTGAAGTTTTCCCATCTTTTATTTGTCTTTTATTTTTATCGCAAATTGTACATTTTATTTGCATGTTAATTGGCAAATAAATTTAAATATTACTTCATCCAAAAATGCAAAACAAAAGCAATTGATAGGAAGTACCGAAGGCTACATTTTTTCAAGGACATTTTTAAGAGTAAGAATGATTGCTCAATCTGTCTCCTCTTGTTCACAAATGTAATTTATATTTGAAATCAGTTATGTTGCATTTTAGATCAACAACATAATGGACAAATCAATGGAAAACATAATAAGTATCTTTATGGTGCTGTTCCTTTTTGTGGCATTCTCTGTCATCACAGCCTTTTTTGCAGTGAAGGTAAGTTCATGTCCATCATTCACAATGTACCAGAGCATTGCATGTACACATACTCAAATCCCCAACAATTTTTTCATTTTTGAGTTATTTTTTTTCCAAACCGAAAAAACCCTTTATGTTAGGATAGATAGTGGTATGTTGCTCACACTCATCAGATCGCAGCATAAGGGTATTATCTCACACCAATCAGATTGTTGCTTTAGGGCATGTATCTCACACCAATCAGATTTATATTGCTGCATCATATCATAGCATTTGAATATCCTGCACCAATCACAGTGTTTAGGTATCATTTTCTTGTAAATGCGATGTCATGGATCACAGGGCTGTGCACTTAGAATGACATTGACCAGAAATTCTGAGCTCATTTGATAAGTGTAATTGTCTGTGGCCTTTGTAAGGGCCTTGCCGATTAAAGTAGAGATTTATTGGTATATGAAATGTACACATAAATTTTTAAGTTAATAATGTTTTTTCCACTCCTTTACTCACAACACACATGCCAAACAACTTACATTCCATTGCGTACCATGAAAAAATGTCCAAAGTCTGATCAGAACAGACCTAATCATTGCACTACATGAACATCAGGCAATTTTCCATGTGCTTGAATTAACTATCACCAATCAAATTTCATTTTGCCACATTGGACTTTGCTCTGTCATGTGTCATTCTCTTGTAAACAACCTGCATTTTATTATGTGTTCTAACTGCATTGTCCAACCCTATTGAAAAAAATTCACATGGAATTAAATGCTACTGATATTGAGTTTTCCACGCAATTCTCCTGCGTTTGACTTTTTCTACAAATTAAAGTCACTTTAGGCTATCTTGGACTTAACCAAATTGTGTATTAATTTCATTGTAAAACAACCTACATTTTATCACCCATTTCACATATAGGGCAAAGTCCAGATAGGCAACAACCAATTAGGAGCCTTCTTTGAAATATTATCCTTTTCTCTTGATCAATGTATCTTCACTTATTGGAGATTGCAATATAGCTCTGGTTAGGGTCTATTAGAGGAACAACAGAGTTTCAGTTTGCCTTTCATAGTAAAATTACGCAGAATCATTTTTTTAAGGTAACTAACTATAGACGAATAATTTTGATTTTCTCTCTGCTGGAGTAATGGCAGTAAGCGTAGTCTCTTTTACAACTGTTATGTGGTATTGTCACACAACACACACTCTCCCAAATGGGAAATAGAGGGCATTGTGTGACGAGACCAAACAACATCTGCAAAGGAGACAACAGTAAGTAAAAAAAAAAATTGGTAGTGATGCATTCCATTTTAACGCTGAAGTATTTAGACAATAGAGATAGTATATCACACAATATCTGTGTGAGTTCAGATAAATTAGGATTTTTTTCCTGTCTTTCTGCAATCCTTTTGTTTTTTTAACGTTATGCTATTTTGGGTGACAAAGATGAAAACATAAAGGGCACAAACTGTTCTATCTCAACCCACCAAGCCAAAAAATAACTCTTGCATGCTATGCATGCCTGTTTTTCAAAAGGAGCCAGTAACTGGTAAAAATCATCCATACTGTATTTTTGGCCTCTATCTATGGTCAATTTTTTATTTTAGTTTGTGAGCTAAAATTCCATGACAAGCCTTAAGTTTCTGGTGGAGTTGGGTCAAACAAAATATGCTACAAACTGACAAGTAATACTTTATGTCTTTCATCAGGTTCACCATGAGAGTGCACAACTGGTGTCTGTAAGTGCCAACTTAGTGAACAAAGTGATGGCTGACAATCCTCAGCTTGTCAAGTAGGTGCAGTGATTCCTTTCAGGTTAAGTAGAAATAATAAAGTATTCGTGTTGTTCACACATTTGTTCATTATTAATGTTATTGAGATTAAATTTGGTTACCTGTCAAACAGCTGGATTCAGGAAAATGAGGAACTGAAGAAAACATTGGGATCAACTGTGGAGAGATCATACATGCATGGAAGAAAGTACATTGCTGCCAAGGTGCATACAAATATGTTATACTTTATAGGAATGAGCAGGCTTGTGGAAAGTATTAAAGGTACATGTGAGTTACAGTCAAATCTAATGGCAAGCACACTGGATTCTGTGTTTAGACATTCAGTTGCCTGGTTATTGTGCTGTTTTCTTGGGTAAGAGTCTTTATTTTTGCAGTACATGCCTCTCTCCACCCAGGAGTTTAAATATCTCAGAATCCTGAGGAATTGCTGAGGACAAATGATCACAAAAATGACAACAGTCACCAAATCCATAAAATTCCCTTTCAATCCAAGATTTAAATAACAGTAGGTCCAAAATGCTGGTTGTTCATTAGAGAGATCAGAAGGACAAGAGGATTCACATTGTACCTTCAACATAAAGTGAGGATGTAGTTGTGATTCTGCTCTCTGATTTTGTTCACATCTTCCTAATTTAGTAGTTGTAGAATACCTTATTGTTGCCACTGTTTAGATTCAGTCCATGTTTGGTGACAGCAATTCCAGTGCACTCCAAGAGGAAGTGCTAGACTTTACTGATCACATTTATCACTCATGGATTAATTGGGTAAGTCTACTTTGGCTGTGAGTTATGAATGTTAAGTTAATGTCACCAAGGTTAAAAAAAGAGATGAAGAGATGAAGCATATTACAGACCATATAGTATTTCTTGGAAATGAAATCATGTAGATTGATTTTTAATTCATTGGAAGGATACAATATGAAAAGTTAACACAAAAACTAATTTAAAAACCTGTATCATATAGATCGGTTGTTAAAATGGAATGAATCAGAGTGACCTCCCCCTCCCTCAACTAAAAAAAATAAAAAGGATTACCTTGCATCCCTCGAAAATACCCCACACAATGTTTTTGGATAAATTATGTTTACAATGAAAAAATAATCAGTATATACAAAAGTACACACATGTTATTTGTCCTTCCAGGGTAATACTTCGACAACAAAGGAATTATCAAAGAATGGAACACTTACAACAGACATACCAAGCCACAATAACATGAGTGCAGCTATCTCCTGGAAAAATGTTATGCACATTTTTAATGTGTTTGATTTTCGAGTATCTTTCTCCTTGATCAGAGAAAATCTTGGCACTCTCATTTCTGTGAGTAAATTTTGTTACTAGAATTATTTTTGTCAAAAGTTGATAGCATTTAAAATCCATTTTTGGCTTTCTCTTTTGACAAGGTTTATTTTACTGAGTTATTTTAAACAAGTTGCTCCTTTTAAGTTGTCTTACATGTGCATAAATATCTTTTGAAATCTCGCTGATTTTTTCATCATCAACCTTAATAGGCCAAAACAGGCACTTTTCTGCAATGGCACAAGATATTGATTTATGTTATTTAACAATAATTAGTAAAGCACACCTGCAGCAGTTTGAAGAGTTTGTAAATAGCATTTTAAAATATAAAGCTAAATGACAGTGTACTACTGTGACATCTTTTTCAGCTACTGGAGTCTGTTTGGATGTTTTTCAAGGGGAACATCAGTTTTGCCTTTAACCTTGTTACTACAATGTTGTCCATTGTGTTCTTCAGTGGTGCATACCTTCTGAACACTGGCATATCAATGGTAAACGAAATCGCTAATGCTGTCATAATTTAGACTATATGTAGTAGTTAAATCAATGTTAATAGTGAGAGTAATAACATCGTAAAGTTGATCTTACAGACAATTATCCTTAATGTACAACTACTGATATTATCACTAAGATCATGGGTTTAATGGTTCAATTACTTAATTTGATAACACATCCAGGGAAGAACTGCTTCCTTTAAATTTTCAGTTTCATATCCTCTCATATGATTACTTGTTCTGTATAATTTGGATACTCCAGAAAAGAGTTCAACATTTTGTTACATATTATGGTACTTAGTTTATACTTATTGTGTCCAATAATTATGATATAGCTATCACACCCCACTTACTCTCTTATATATAACTGCTTGACAACTTAACCGCTTTTCAGCAACAGAATTGTAATAATCTCATCCTGTTCCAGATTATTTTTGTCACTGCATTGTTTTACCTGTTGAGTACCTCTGGTGAACAGTACAAGCCTGTTGAGTGGTTTGGCAAACTTACAGCAACTGGTACATCTGGGTTTGGAGATTCTGCTTATGGAGCCATCAGGTTAGTCTGACTTTACAAATGGATATGTAAGTGATGACTGGCAGTTAACACAAGCCTTGCAATTGTGCAATCTATGACAATCCTAATGTATCTCAAGTTTAGAACATAATAAGGTGAGAAAGACTTTTAACAAGATAACCTTAATCAGTATGGTCAAGTATCATCAAATTTTTCAAGGTGGTGTTGTTTCTTGAAGCATGAGATTAGAAACAAAGAAAGTGAGCTAAATTACTGTTTTTAACATTTTTTATTTCTCCTTCCCCAAGCTATCAAATATGCTAAGCCCAAAGCAAAGAAAAAGGTTGGAAAATGAGGACAATGTGAGCCGCAGTGCTGAATTTTCAAAATTTTTTATTTTACTCTGTCAGGTCAACTTGCAATTATTTATTTTTCTTGGTTTGAGTATAGTTACAAACTTTAGGCAACAGGTAAAATTTCTCACTAAAATCACAATTAACTGACATGAGAGTGATCTTTATTACTTTGTTTTTCCAGGGATGTATTTGGAGCAGCCATTAAAATGGCAGCCTTTTATGGTGTCTACACCTGGTTGACCCACACCACATTTGGTGTTAACATTATATACATCCCATCAGGTAGGAAAGCCAGACAAAAGAGCAATGAAAACAATCTAATTTTTAACATAAATGTCCCAAGAAGATGCACTTCTATGAAGTAAAAGTAGCACAATGTTTTTTTAAAATGCTCACAATATTTTCAACCCTTAAAGTGTTTCCAAAACATTTTTTGTAGCTTTGTTCCTTTAGTGTGTCACAACCAATTTCCTACCCAAGCCTCTATCAGTAAAACTTTAGAATTAACATATGGCTATCTTTTTGAAGCAATTGCAGCCATTACAGCTGTTGTTCCGTTTATTGGCACTTATTGGGCAGCAGTACCAGCTGTACTTGAATTGTGGTTAATCCAGGGACAAGGAATAATGGCAGCTGTGTTAGCAGTCTGTCATTTCTTACCCACGTACTTTGTAGATGTTGCCATCTACAGTGAGATCAGTGGGTATGTGCTATGTATCTTTTGGAAGCTTTAATTTGAAGATTACATGCTCTTTTTGTGTAAAGTGATGTATCTTGTCAGCATAAGGAGGGAGGGAAGACTTCTAGTGGGCAGGGATTTTTGACAAACAATACTATCAAACAACAGATTTTTGAATAAAACTTTAAACTGATTTGCACCTCCTGTATTCATCATTTCTCTCCTGATGCAAAATGGTCTGTGAATGCAATTCCAACATGTTCATCCCAATACATATATAAGATCTGATTACCCTACGCTGCTTTTAACTAATGGTAGCATATTTACCACCTTATATTTGATATTTGAAACTCTTTGAATAATCACTCCTTGCTCCTATCCAATTTCTTGAATGTTTTCCTTTTTTAACAGTATTGTAAGACTCCTAGTTTGTGGTTTATCTATCCTGAGTAGTAAATCTAAACATGGTCTAAGACCTTCAACATTATTTGTATTTACATCACTATACATTTCTTATGGCCCATGTGTATGATATGACACAGTTTATGACCTGTGAAAACATTTCTAAAACATAAGCTCAAGAGGGCTTTACTTGATGGCATAGGCTGGGCTAGAAAAGGCCATTCAGCCATGCAAAATCAGGGGTAAAAGAAAAGAGGAGTTACTTTAGTCATATGAAAAATACTTTTTGTCTCATTTAGGTGGGGTCAAATGGGAAAATATTTGGCTCCTTGTCATGACTTACTGACCTCTGGGCTTGGTTCTTACATCATTACTGAGAACCAAACATTATCCCATTCTGTCCATACACTCAATCACAAACACAAGCTATGTTTTTTGTCTGTTTTATGTTTGTTTGATGCAATTCATGACTGCTTTGCATTAACAGTGGAGGTCACCCTTACTTGACTGGTTTAGCTGTGGTTGGAGGTATCTATTGTGTTGGGCTGGAGGGAGCCATCATGGGACCAATAATACTTTGTTGTTTGATAGTCGCATTCAATGTGTACAGCCGTATGCTTGGTCACAGCAGTCCTGTACCTGATCCAGAAGTTCCATCAGCCACAAGTGACATGCAACAAAGTACACAACACTCACAGCATAAAGATGATCAAGAGGGAAGTGGCAAGGCCCTGACAGTCTCTTAGATCATAGCAGGAAGTTATCAATTTTAATTAATAAAGAATGTTAACATAATATGATGTTAGAGTACTTTAAATTTTGAGAATTAACATTGAATAAAATCATAACTATGATATATGCCAGAAAATATTGCAGATCTACAAATTCCCTTCCGAAATGGCTTTTGGAATTCCTAGGAATTCCTAGGATTTTCCTAGGAATAAAGG